ATGATGTTTGGTGGAGGCCAACAGCCTTCTCGTGTGGAGGCAACGGTGTCCTTAAGCTAATCTGTGACACTTTTTGGTACTGAGAGTCTTCGCTCGATATCGCTGCGAAGATCTCTCCTTTGCATTTTTCCTGCTGTCAATGGTACAGCTTCCTTTTGTTCAATGCTCATGAAAATTTGCCTAATCTTCTCCAAATTTAATGTCATACCTTCCACATTGAATCGATAACCCAGAAAATCCCTTGCGGTATATTTTTCAACCTGGAAAACTCCAGGGTGGCACCAATTCGCGAGAGAGTTATATAGGATGCCACAATTCGTGATGCAGTTGGCAAAGCTTGCGGAATATTATGGAACCACGATAGCCGCGACATGAGTCACTGTGGCCCCCGAATATTTCTTTCACGGTGGTAGGTGTTTTATTTTGCCGTTTGTAGTCTTTTTACCTGTACCAATTGCGTAGTTCGTCTGCTGGATGTGGATGCCTAAAGAGTCGAAAGCTGGGCGTGTCAATGGAAAAGTTTACAACTATTGCCACGGAGGCGTCCAATATGGATACGATATCACCGAGAATGCATCTCGGAGGGTCTTGAATTTTATTGGCCACTGATGAGTGGCCATGGCGATGGCGATCGCCTTGAACTCCCCAAGAAAACCCTGATTGCAGAGCTGCGCAATATCCCCTCTGCTTTAACTGCATGCAGCGAACATCGAGCAAATATCATTGCCAAACAGGCTTTTGCAGAAGGCCATGCACCCGCTTTAATATTCAATGAGACGTCCTAGTCGTGCAGTGCAATGTACCCTTGTGAGTGCAATGGCAGAAGACGAGAAAACGTTTTCTAGTCCAATGCCATGCCTACGATGACGTTCTCTGAAGCCAATCAAGTCTCTTTTCGACATCGCAATGCAACATATGCTTGATTTTAAATCATTACTTTGGTTCGGTTACTGCTCGCCAGCTGGCAGGGACACTTTTTTCCATGTACTGTCATCGACAAACGCCCCTTGGCGATAGTGCTCAATGGATTCACGGATTTTGCTTTGTCATACATTAGATTTCAATGAGCTCATCATGGACACTGCTTTGCTCGGGCAAAATGAGAAGCTGACCGCTACCTCATTGCCTTGTTATGCAGAAGGGAATGGTGGTGATGATGGCTGAAATGGCAAATTCGTTCCCACGCGCCACCACAACTGAAACGATTTATGTCCGCGATGATCAATCCCAGGTCCGAAATCATCCGCGAGTCTGAAGCCGGCACAGAAAGCCCCTGTCGACAGCTATCCTGACCTCTATCCACTCGAGAGGGGCAGCCTAAAGCTTAGTGCAAGGTACCCTTGTCCGGGGAAGAGCGAGTTGGTTGTGGCGGACGTGGCAACGGGCCAACCAGTCGATGGCGAGGTCATGAGGGATGGCATCCAGGGGTGGAGACTCAGCCGCGTGCGAACGTACAAGGCACCCTTCAACGGAAATGTAGCCAAGGGCTTCACGCCCCCCGCACACCAATGCTACGGGCACTACAAGCACTACGGTACACAGAGCATAGGTTTCGAGATCACCAGTTGCAAACGTTGGCAACCGCACTGAGCCAGGAAAAGCATGACAACTTGCGTCATGTGAGTTGTCAATTCAGTGATCTGCATATTTATATTGGCTTGAAAATTGTAGCTCTAAAATACCCACACGGACATCTGGGCCTGCAGCATGTTTTAATTCATCAGGGCCACTAACGCAATAAAGTAAGTCCCAAACCATTGAAACATGGCGACCACGTGCATTGCGTTGCCTCTGAATCCCTTGGTGCAAAACAAGACTCAGGCCACTGCCACGCGAAAGTCGTTTCATACCGTAGGTGAGGTGCATCGGCGGTGCGAATAGTGGTATCGATGACCCACTGCTCGCAAATGTGCGTTCCGACGCTCGGAATTGAAAACTGCGATACACTAAGGCAATAGAAGAATGTTGATATTCGCCCATCGTCGACGCCGTTATTTGCAGAAATCTTCAATCTCTCGGCTCCTACTCCAGGAACAAGAATACCTGATACCAGACGACCGCTTCGAGCTTACGACCTCATCTTGTCATTGCAGGTTTCGCAGGAATGGGAGCAAAAACCAGCTGGGCGCACAATCCAAAACAGCAATGGTGAAACTTTCATGGCTTCCTCATCACCACTTCATCAGCAAACCAATTCCATGCGCCTTGCTTCACAACTGCCAATGTCGTGGACATGGCATTTTTTTAAAAGCCTGTCGAAATGATTACCGAAATGGCGTTGACTGAGACAACATGTTTGAATGGCAAACATGAGGTCATTAACGCTCACTGCGAGCGTATACTTCCTCGAAGTATCATCCAATTTCGCCAAGGCAAATCTGGTTAGAATAAGTTCCCAAAATCTTGGACTTGCATCATTCCACTGGGCTGTCAGGGGCAACACCGCAAGTGGGGCTAGTCGCCCGGGATGGCAGAGTGGAGTGGAACAACGAAAGGCGGAAACCGTGAGCCGATGTCGGTAGACGGAGAGGTAGTATCTCTATGCCTTGATCCACAGAAACGATGAAGTGAAGAGCGGTAGAGCTGCAAATGGCTCCGCGGAGGCATAGCCACACACCAATAATGCCACAACGAAAAAAGACAACACCGCGTCCCAGATGCTGTGCTCCCTGTTCCTAAATATGTATCTCTGAGAGCAGGGAGTTCAGAGCGTTTTGAAGTGATTGAATTCTGGAAGAAATGCGGGTACACAGATGCTCACCTGGTGCTCGCTATGCATATATTGGAGATGGACCCATAGTCGCGCTTATTCAGGTCTGTAGACGGACAATTGAACCAATGGGAAGCTTCCCAGAGGCGGCCCCTCCAGCTCGTGGTCGGCGGTCCCGCTCGTGGTCTCACGCATGTCGAATCGAAGCTGATGGCGCAGTTCAGGTAGAAGAAGGGACGCGAGAGATCGCGCGAGTATAGGATGCGCAGGTGCGCAATACAGCAGGCCTCGGGGTGTCATATGTATGGAACGAACAGGATGGATTGTCGATGCATGGGTGAGTTGAAATCCATGCAGAACAGGATTGGCGCGTTCTTATAGTCCGTTTCATCTGCAAGATATCCGCCCATTTTCAGAAGGATTATCAGCAGGCCTGGCCCACCCTTTTGACATACCCTCTACGTTGAAGTTGGCAATTGGCTCCCCTGTACGACTTCCCTGAGCCACAATTTATGGACTGCGAACTCTGCAATTTGATAAAGAACTCGGACAAGACACAGGCGACCTGTGGTTTCTCAGTCCCCGACATCGCCTTCTACAACTTGTCTCCTTGAAGGAGAGTGGGTTTCCATGCTCTGACAATGTAATCAGTGCGATTTGTACATCCTGCTTGCTAAGATCACATCCCGGACACTAACGCTAAGGCGCACATCGTCGTCCTGGCAGCAATTTGCAATCGGCCGATTGCGCAATCTCCAAATCACATTTACCTGTATCGCTCAAAGTTGCAATGACCGTGTTTGACACAACAGTGAAAGGCAATTCGAGCAATTGGCGCTGATGTAATTGCAGCTAAGAAATGTCATCTTAGGCTCTTCTTCTGGTAGGGATCACTCGATTGAAGGCACACCCGAAGCATTGAGAGACAGAGCAGGCAGCAAGCCGAGGACCCCGACAAAAGGCACCAAAATGCCTGTGAACAATCTCCTCTCGAAAATGGGCAACAGTGAGCCACAAGCGGGTGGAGTAGAAATGCAAGGTACCGTTTAGATGTCTTCTCGACCCGATAGTGAATTCTACTGATCATTGTACCGACGGGGAGCTGCCACAGGGTTGGGCCACTGCTTGTTCGAGTTTGAAGGTTGCAAAATTTGGAGCGCTTGAGTTGGACATCCTAAAATTGACGCCCACCGACACACCATTTCAGAATACTTGCTATCGTGGCAGTGCTGCGTCTGTGAAGAAAAGTGCCCGTTGCGACCAAGCCCTGAGCCGCAGTTGGTGACCAAAGGCGTCCCTCCTGTTCGCAGAGGCATATTATGACGTGGTGGACATGGACACAAAGTTGCCGCTGACGAGCCAGGAGCGGCAAATGGTGGAGCCTTGGCGCCCAGCAACTGTGCTCACGTACGAGAGGCCCATGCCGTCGCCGGACGCCTTCAAGGACAAGGGCTCACCGTCCCATGGCGCACCCGCACCCTTCCACCACAGATACAAGCACTACAAACAATACGGATTCGCAGGTGGGGTGGCAGATATCGGGGATCGTCTGCAACGCTGTCCTGACAGCTACTACCTCCAACGGATGAGCTTGTTGTGCTGCACCCCATTGGCATGTCCTGCAAGCTCTTATGTCGAAGGTTTATCGATTGTGATGGAAGGGGACTTCAGCACGGACTGTCCCCAAACCTGATACCTTATCTGCCCATCGAGACTTCATCTAATGCGCTGCGCTGCAGGCCAAGGTGCCAAGACGAGCTGGGCAAGGAATCCAAAAATGGGCCTCATACGGTAGCAGTATCAGTGGGAACGACGGGGCAGTGCGGGTGACGACAATGAAGTCGCCCTTAGGGTTGGTGCTAAGTTGGGTGCGCCTGTCAGCACCACGCGTACTCCTTTAGGCCAGGCCAAATGCGGGCGTCGCACGGAAGCTGCGCCACAGGTATCCCACAGCATACCAGAATTGGCACGAATCGTGCGCATGGAAATGATTCATTGTCGCTTACAGCCAACCTTTCGAACAACAGAGGCAGCAATGCCTTCGCGCACATGGCCCCCATTGGCGGAAGTCCGCACGGCAAGAGTGGCTCCAGGGCTGCGACACCCAGGGACACCGTCGTTCAAGCATCCAGACCGGTCACCTCCTACCCAGATAGCCTTCACAGGTCACCATATTCTAAGCAGCCCTTGTGCATCACCACTGCCCCGCTCCGTGATGACTACACAGCTGCACAGCACACACAATTACAACAGGCAATTTCGGGCGCTCGCGAGGATGATGGGAGGGTGGTTAGCTAAGGGGGGTTGCCACTGCGGCCGCATAGCTCACACTCGAGTCGCCCTTGGTCTCGCACTGGCTCGATTGATCGTAGTACTTGAATTCGATCTTGTGTTTGGAGCGGCTATGGCGCAGCATCTGTCAGACGAGACAGTTCAGGAGGAAGAAGGTGGAGTCAATGTCAATGGCAGGGCTCTGTACGCCATGTGCAATGCATTTTGGCAAGAATTAATGCGCACATGCATTGGACAACAGGCAAGCCTGTGCAGACAACAGAAGACAGCAAAAAACATGCCTACAACCCCATCTGCTGCATTTGGCACAGGACAATTTGTTGATGAGACCGGGGCCAATCAAACGCTACGCTGCTTGAGAACATTCTGAATGAGCGATGGGTTCCGAAGCCATCAGCAAGGTGACGACAAACAGCAAAACGCCTCACAGAACTAGAATTGGAACAGTGCCTACGAAAGCACAGCTTTGGCTTGCTGGAGTCCAGAGAGCCAGAAACTGGGTCCTTTAATGGGATCAATTCAGTCTGCCACTGGCCAGTTCACTCGAAGGGCGCACAAAAAGCTGACAGCATTGCGACATGTGCAGATAGCGCCACCTGCCCGTCGATGGCGTGTGGACTCATGGGACCATCTGCCTCAATATCACACACCCAGAGTAGCTTGCTAACCACGCAATGGAAAATGCATTGATGACTGCCCAAAACTGTATTCTAAAGCCTTGGCTGGGTGGCCACAGGCCAGACATCATTCAAGAGCATTCCTTAACAACACCCTGGGGAGACAGCGGCAGCAAGGCAGATGGTGCGCAGCAGTGGGCTCACATTGAGGAAGACTCCGATGGGGTGGCGGCCACAAATCGTGTTGCGTGTTTTCTGGATATAACTTCTGAACACGGACGCATCGGTCTATACAGCACAACAGCCAGTTCGTCACCAACCACCGTATCATTAACTCCCCGCAGCCTGAGGTTTTGCCTTCTTCACTGCACAGGGAGATAATCTGAAGCAAACTCAAACTGAGGTGAAGCCCGCGTTGTTACGCGACGCGCCAAAATATGCCCATTTCCAGCAGAATTTCAGATGGCAGCTTCGAAGCAATATCGCTGCCATTCATAGTGTCCCTGCCATGCGGCGTTTTTGGTGCATCTGGGCGCTTGCACTGTTGTGAGTACAAGGAATAGCTTGCACAGAATCAGCACCAAGACATTGGTAAACCTCTCTTTGGCACCCCCCAGTTCCAGAACACTTGCCTTCGTGCTCCCTGGTACTATCAAAGCTTTTGTGGAGCAATAGAAACCACCATGCATGGCATCTTGCTTTTCGTGCTGGACCAGGAGCTGCAGTTGGAATCACGGTGGCTTCCAGTACACTCAGCAGGCAGCACAGGTTGTGAGACGATCTCCAGGCGCAGTACCCATGATCTTACCGTTTCGATTGCCTCCATGCCCTTGCGATCCATGTACTCTATGAATTTCCAAATTGGACCCTGGAAATGACAGCACAAGATTCCAAGTTGGAGTATGGAGCTCAGCCATGGCAGGCGACATAACACAACAGGAGAGCTCGGGACCAGCCTCAAAAAGCCTGCAAATAAGACCCAAAGGGCTTATCAGCAGTTAGTGCCTACCAAACTATTAGAATCAGACTTGAGGTGTACAACAGACCATAATGGTAAGATGCGGTCTCACGCATGCACCTCCGCCGCAATCCTTGCACTTCTCCAAATAGCAGATCAACATGAAAACAGCAGATACAAATCATGAAAGCTCTCCAGTTTTGCTCAACTCATTTCACCATTTCAACCAAAGGCAAGCAGCAACAGGATGTTAGACTTCAGCCTGATTTACCTGTGCCGGGTCGTAAGGTGTGTATCGGAATCGCGAGCCCCAATGACAGAAGTCGGATGAAATGACAAAGAAATTGCATGGGTCATCCAGGTAGGGACCAAGGATCTTCCCATATGCTTCTTCACTGCCATCAGAGAACAGTTAGAAGTCAAGCAATGAATCGGTGTGTCCTCTTATGCAACAATGTGAGACAGAATAGTGAATTTGTGTGCTGCAAGTCGATGCTAAACAAGGGCATTGACAGAGTGTGATATTCTTGTGTTCCATACCGACCCAACAAAATACATGGAAAGTCAATAAGTGACAAACACAATTGCACATCAAATGAGAGGACGTGAAGACTCCACGCCAACGACCAGACTGCACAGTGTCATCGTAGTCCCACTTACCTCCCAGCAGAAAGGGTGCCAACCATGATGGGTACCAGGCTGAAATCTCGGCTCCTTGACAGCACACAGGCACTGATTCCAAACCCCACACAGCAGCAAGGGGCCTTCCACCAGGAGACAAAAAACAAGGGGTGTGGGGATATATCTAGAAGGAAAAGCAGGGCACCATATTCTGGCAACTTGAAAGATTGGTAATTGTCTAAGCATGCACATACTGGCACATTGAAAATGATCCCTTGTGTTGCATATGCTGAAACAGATAGTGCAGCAGAGGCAAGGTCGTCAAACACCAATGTTTCCTTACCGTAGTGCATGAAAAATATACGGCAAATGAAGCTCTAAGCTGTGTTCTGCCTGCAAGCCAAATGTTGACGTGTTAATGCATAATTTTCCAGAGAGCTCACAACGAAAGGCATGTACATAAGCATGCTGTGTCCATCACCAGCTTGCACCCATAGGTTTCATGACATCCAATTGGGATTGAAATGCTGCACCACTGACGTTGCTGTTAGCACTACATATTGTGCTGGCACAATCCCACCCATCAAGAAAAGCAACTCATTCCTAAATGTCAAGAAGATGTAAATGCAGGTGTACAGAAAACAAATCGCAGCCACATCTGCTATCTGCCTGCTGCAACCAATGCTGTACCAAACAACAAAGCAATTGACTAGGTCCCTGTGTAGCCAGTTCTCCTGTGCTGCAAGGACAACACCTAACTGCTCCTGGAACCTGACAATGCCCAATACCAAAGCATACCACCCACCTCGTCTGTCTCCTGGTCCATATTATCAAACATGCCCGTGCTCTGCAGGTGTGCAGTCACTTCCTTGTCGATTGGGATATCCCCTGCCACAGCATTGGCACTGTTAGTGGTGAAACAAAGAGAGCAAACTCTACCAGCGAACGATGATCTTTTGAGTGACGTACCCAGAGGTGTGCGGTATGCATCTGCCCATGACAAGATGCACTGCTGGGTGTACACATGATGGCTGGGGCCCAGGAGAAAGACTCTCGACCTGCACGTTTGAGCACCAGGCAACAACGGACTCAGCATGGAGGGTCTGCTCTGCAAAGCCACCATTTATCACGAGCAGCGATTCCATGGGACATGCTTAGGGCTGAAAATGCACCTTTCAGGGGTTGAATCAACACTGGAAGATCAGAGTAGTCATAGTCTGACTGACACAAGAACACAGCTATTGGGGTGCCACTCGACGTTCCAAGCCCACCAAGTTCATGCGATTTTCAAGGACAACAGGCTCGCGCCACTGCCAAACAAGAAGAACAATTTCCAGTTGTCTTTGCGCCACAGGCCCCAGAGTGTGCCACTCACACTTGTGTGGGATCGATTTGCTTGTAGGCGTGGGCCATCACATGGCCACAATACCGGTACCCCGCGTGCCTGCACCAAAGGCACTCACGCAGTCGGCATTCACACAAATCTTGTGCGAACTTCGCCTCACGATCACAAAAGTGGCAGCCCATCCCTTGGGCAGTAAGTGCACAATCCAGAGCTCGTCAGGCCTCAGGGTTGTGCCCAAGGCTCACTTACGGAGCAATAATGGCGCGTACTGGAATGTTGGGCTCCACCAGTGCTTCCGCCATCCACTGTTCTATTTGTTTCGTGAGCGTATCTCCTGCGCGCAACACCAGCAGAGAATTGCTGCCCCGCGCGACGACCAACTCAGGCGCCACAACATTCCCAAAATAGCAGCCAGATCTAACAGCCAGAGCCTTGAGCGCGAAGCGCCGATGGCACCAAACCGGACGCACCGTCCTTCTCATACCAGCTCCCCGCGTGGGATGGTGATCGCGTATACTTTCCCATCTCGTTGAATCAGAGGTGATGACGTCCCTCCCTGCGACACGATGGACAGCGCAATCGCGCCGATGTTTGCCGACGCTAGCGGAGCTGCCCAGTGTCGCAGGAGGTCGTGGAAGGAAGCCCGGCGGCAACGGGGCGCGTCCTAGCGCACGGCCGCTTGGGCTGCTGGGTGGACTGTACGTTGGCAACGGGAAGACGAGAAGTACGGTACACGGCTGTGCGATACTCCCGATGTTGGCCCATGCCGCATGATGCTGGAAAACGGGGTGGAGCAGGTTTGGGAGTGGCCGCCACTGGCGGAGCCTCATTCAGCATTTCCTCCCCCACACTGCGACCCCACCGCAAAAGCAGCGGTCCGATGCCCGAACCTCAAACTGTGGGCACGTCTTGTGCCTGCCCCACAGCAGGACCAGCCCAAGCGCCAAGGTGGTGATGTTCTAGCTGAGGCCCTGGAGATCCCGCCTGGAGGGGTATTTGGGTGTCCCGCAAGGCACCGTATCAATTGTCACGCCTAGGCCATGCTGTGTCTGACGCATGCGCTCCATTGACAATCGACCAGCCAATTTGCACATCACGAAAGGTCTTTCTGTATGGACCAACCCGTGCTCCCTGGGGCCCGTGCTACAGCGTGAGAGCAGGAGATGCTATGGTCCGAAATTCTGCACAACAGCTCAGCCATTTTCTGCGAGCCTATCTGCCCACACCCTGGGGCAAACAGAAACCTATTGTGCACCAGCGCCTCTATACCCAGAGCCTTGGCGTTCCTTGCGTTCCACAGCGAGATGGCTCCCCATGTCAAATTTTTGACAGGTCCGGTGTTTTGTCACCTAGCCGGTGGTCAATGTTAACCATGTGAAAACTTCACGTTGGACAGACACAAGACCAGCGCCCAATTTGATGGAGCTTATGAGCGAGAGTCTTAATGAATTGTCGCCATTCTCATATCTCAAAACTGACATGGCAGCACGGGGCATGAGAAACGTCGATTGGCAGGTTGGGCTCCTTCATCTTGGAGCTGGACATCGCCCATGAGGCGCAATTCCTCACGGCGAAGTCACAGGTCTGGTTGAGTCTGCTCAGGTCGGAACTAGGGTGAGTGGGAGTTTGTTACGACCCGCTTTTTCCGGTTTGGGGTGCACCTGCTGGGTTGGGTCTGGGGTGTTTGCACGAAGACTTTCTGTTCAGAAGCGAGTTTGTGGGGATGGCACTCAGATTAGGGAGACATCTGGCGCCATGGATGTGACCAACATTCTTGCGGCTGTTCCACACATGTTTGGGCATACCACGGCGGTGATATGCACAAGCTTGCCGCAACACCACATGCAAGAGATCTTTCGCATCCAAGTGACATGAAAGTCGTGATTACAGGCGAACGATCAAAAACCCGGCTGCCCCGCAGTCCTCCACAACCCATTCGTCCGGCGCTGCACAGCTTGTCCACAGGAACGAGGCAAGCACCCTGGCACCTCCAGGGCAAGGCAAAATGACGCTGCACCTGGGTCTCGATGTTGGCGACAAGGCAAGCAGGCTCTGACGACGCCCAAAAATACCCACGCACAACGAGCAATAGAAACAATTGAATGTGTAACGATGGCCTAGAAACTCAGGAAAGAATGCATCCCACCAGACACAACGCCAGGCGCCCTGGATAGGCGGCTGCCATCAACGAATCCCAAAGTGCGAATCCCCTTGCCGGAAATTTTCTTCATGCTGCGGGCCTGGTACACGCACCACCCCGTCCAGCGCTGCACGACGAACAGTGGGACTTCTCCCGGTGCAGCGTTCGTCTAGAAATGCAGGGAATAACACATTCCACCCGACACAGCGCAGGCGCCTTGGGCTGGGCAGGCGTCGTCAACAAATCCCAAAATGTGAATCCTCTTCAAGGAAATTTTCTTCATGCTTGCGGCCTGGTTCACTTCTCCTTGACGGCCTCCGGCATAGAGGAACCAGTCTTTCCAGCCAACGCGGCACCGGAGAGGTAAGCATCCGCGAGCTGTACGCGCTTCACGTTGTCCTGCTCATCAACCAACAGGTTGCCGTACTTGAGGAGGATGTCCTTGTTCATCACGGGCTTCTCGAACGTGACCGTTCCCTCCTTGGAGTTGACGAGCCTTTTGCCAAGATTCTCCATGCCAAGTTCGTCCACGAATGACCGCACCTTGTCATCATACACCCGTGCGCGGAGAGCGCCGAAGAAGTCAATGGACTGGCCTGGGAAGGCGTCCACCAGCTCCTCGACCTCACCACGGTTCACTTGGTCCTCCTGCACATTCCACACAACCACAAACATTTCAGCAACCGTCTCGTAAGCAAAATTGCTACACACTGAACACGTTCCCTGTGAGGCCACACAATGCAAAGGACTGGTGACACCCAACCTGCTGTGTTTCTGTCCTGGCACTCACTAGGAGCACCCGCCTTCGTGATGCCTTCAAAACCGACCCTAATCTTCCTTCGTTGACCACGCTCAGAGACAGACAATCTGGTGTAGGCTGAGGAATCAGGGTGGCAGGGGACAGTGCTCGCTGCTGCTTACCTGGAAGATGCCCATGCACACTCCAATCCTGTCCTCCCGGGTGGGGTTCCAGTAGTACTTCTCCATACGCCCATCACGGATGAGTGGCGCATACAGGGTCGAGAAGTCGTTGCCAGTGCAGATAATGGGCACACGCGGGATCTCCTCCTGGGTGTAAACACCTGGGAGCTGCACGTTCGTGGGGTTGTCGGCGATGTTCATGAGGGTGGCATTGACCATCTGGTTGTTCACAGTGTACTGCGTGGTATCGCCCATTCGCCCAGCACCCGCATCCAAGTCGTTAATGAACAGGGCACACATCTTTCCCTTGGCAATAATGTCAGATGCCTCCCTGTACCTGTGTGCACACCAGAGCGAACATCGATTCAATCCTCCCGCAGCCCATCCAGGACAAGAGACCTGAGAAATCTTTGTCCTAACTGGTCCTGGTCGCCACATTGCAGCATGACTGTTCTGCACTGACGTTCACCCGGCACGCCAACCCTTGGAAACTGTGCCCTTGGAAACAAAGCACCTCTCTGGCCGCAACACAGTCGGATATCGTCTAGCAGGCGAAAGAACACTGCTCTGTGACACTCTGTGACGGAACTAACTAAACGCGATTGAAGGCTGCAGGTTAGCGCCAAAGCAACGGATCGGTACCTCTGACGGATGAGCTTGGCAGGCTCTCCAGCGTTGCCAGACTCCAGCTCTCCAGCGGACATGACGATTGGGGAGATGCCCAGCTTCTTGAACGCCAGGTTGGCCTGGAAGGTCTTGCCCTGACCCTTGCCTCCCCAGACACCCAGAATGAGGGGAACCTTAATCTTGGGCAGCTCCATGAAGTTCTTGGCAATGTGGATGGTGATCTTGTCCAAGAATGCCGGGGAGATGTAGTAGCCGTCCTCGATGTTGTTGAAGGAACGGGCGGCGGTGGCCAGGTACTCGGCGGAGGACAGCACGGCGTTGTGAGTGCCGTCGAGGCCCGTGGCCCCCTGGAAGAGGCTGTCCACCATCAGGCGACCGCGCTGGATGTCTTGCTGTGGGCACAGGCACGGAAACGAGTCAGCGGGAAATACACAGGACAGCGGGACGACAATTTGTTTGCGAGAGAAAAGCAACGAAAGCAGAGAGGCAGCACTGGGGCCGGCCGCCCGGGTCGTGGGCTGTGGGGAGGCACACACGCGCCATACTTCCCCGCCAGAGGGCATTTCGAGCAATGGCCGACCCATTCACGGCTAAACAAGCCTATCAGAGCAGCAACACGGACATTTCAACAATCAACGATCAAAAGTCCGAAAAACGAAGCAAGCACGGGCGCCCGCCAGACTGCCACGTCGCATTCCTGGAAACCTGGGCTCGCGGCGGCAAGACAATCTGCCACCGCATAATATCGCAGAACACCATTCAATTATCACCGCTGTCCTTCAGTGCAAAACTCCCTTTGGTTGCCGCTCTCCGCGTCGGTGCTCAAATTCTACAACCGAGCCGCGCAACGCCTGGAGAATCCGGACAGCACCTGAAGATGTACCCACCTGGTCATCAGAGATGTCCTCGTCCATTCCCCTCCAGCGCCCCTTCTGATCCCTGTTGCCCCCGCTCTCTCCCCTGCTCTTTGCCTTCCGGGAAGCATCAGCACGCACCACACAGTAAACCTGGCGCCCACAGCAAGGACATCACCATCATCAGCGCCCTGGGCCCCGCAAACGACACCCGCCAGTCGGCATCAAGGCCCGCGGCCAGCCGAAAATCGATCCACGATTCTCACCTCGCGGCCGAGGCGGACCGCCGCCGGAGACCCGCTGACGCGGCGGCCCATGATGGAGGAACGCATGGCGGAGCCGGCGGTCTGCGTGTACATAGCAAAGCGGGTCAGCTGGCGATCAAAGGGAAACAGATTCTGTGATTCAAGCGCCCCTGGGCGGCGGCTCCCCCGCGCACCTTGGTGTTCATGGCGGTCTGCATGCTTGGCAGCCTCGAACCGGTGGGCGGCGAGGTCCTGCTCTGCACGCGGGGGTCGTTGCGGACAAGACGGAGTGGACAATAGGGGCTGGCCGCCGCCCGCTTTTGTAGCCCACGGCTGCCAGGGGAGGCCCGTGGGTGTCCACGTGGACACTTTCTGAGGCGTTGATTGCGGGTGTGGGGACGGCGATGCACGAGGGAGTCGGCATTGGCCGCTCCTGGGTGGGCCGCCCGCCCGGCATCCCTTTAATCTTGGTCGTGGGCGCCTCGGAGGGGCAGAATGCAGGTTCACCAACATGGAACCGATGGTGGTGGGTGCAGGGGACCGACCGACCGACGGACCGCTTCGCTCGTCCGCTCCCCGGCGGCAGGACTGCGGGACAGCAGTGGACTGGAGTCTGGGTTGGTGAGTCAAGGTCTTGCACGCCTGGATTGCTGGTTTTCACAGCGGATATCTTGTGGAATTGCACAACGGCTCGCCTCG